TGCTAGTAAAGTCATAAGCATACTGAAATCAGATTTTTAAGGCAATATGAGCTGTGAAACCACTAACATTTCATTTACATCATAAACTTGGTATAAACAAATGTCATAAGATCGTGAAGCGTTCACAGTTATATGATGGGGAAAACCGCAGACTTCCCCATGACATTAAACAATTATGGGGCTTTATGTCAGAACATAGATGGATTTCAAATTTTTCGAAACACTGGAGAAAACCCGAATCGGGCTTAGTAATTTTTGAGACAGCTTAGTTTAAGATTTTTTAAAGTTTGCAATCAACTTCCTGAAACCCATATGCATGTGTGGTTTTCACCGGAAACTTTCACCGTCTAGACTTAGACCGAAAAAAACCCGTACTGTTTCTTAGATTTTAAATTAAGAAACCCTGCATTTTTCCGTTAATTGTCTCTAAATCTTGTTAGACTTTTAACGTGCTTAGGGATAATGCTGTGAATCAGTGATTGAGTATCCGACAATTTTCACTAGCTATGGTTTATTCCCAGATACAAGTCTGAATTTCCCATGGTCCAGAATTCTTACTAGTAATCTACTCGGACTCTCGAGACATCTGGATTTTCTATAGCATCTTCGGGTGCTTGCTGTTGCACATAAGTAGTTAGTGAGGCTGAGCCCGATCTCCTGGTATTATGGGGAATTTCGTCAATTTTGGAGGAAATGTGATAACGCCCTTAAATTTCGATTTGGTCCGCGGTCTGATTTTAGGATTGCCACACACCTTGGGGAAATTATTAAAACGGGGGCTTCTGTGGTTTTCTCCAATAATTCAAATTTTGGCGGAAATCTAACGAACTCCGACGACAACTCTTCACAATATCTACTGCGTATAAAAGTTTTTCTCTTTTATTGCATCTGGAAAGGCGTCATTTGGGAACCTAAAGCCATTTGAGAGTTAATCCCTTACTGTTTTTCACATAAAAATTTTCGCTGTCGCACATTTATACATAAAACCATTAACAGTTAGGAGTTTCAAAATCTGTCTAGAATGAACAATTAAGTAAACGATCATTAGAAGACAATAGATGAACCTGCATCACAGTTTAGTCACGTTCTCCATGTAGTCTTATTTTTTTAACATTTGTAGTATATGTTATATTTGCTCATCGTCATGGTTAGAAGACTGTGTCATAAGTAATTTTGTATAATGAATTAAAATAAAAATCTGTAAATCTTTTACGAGTAATTTGTTTCCTATTATTGTTCACAATTGGGAGGTTGGTTTATTTCTTATGTTCCAGTCCAAATTCCGTTAATAATATTATACAAATAAAATGTGATTAATATAAAAGCAATATCAGAGCTTTTCCGGTTATACAAGTTGACAAAGAAGTGCCTAATATGATGAGATTCATGAAACCTGGGTATCAGATTTTTTTGTTTGACAAAATACACCAAACAAGAGCCTTTAGGAACGTATGAAATGTACATTAGCTATGAAACTTTAGGTAACGTGTGTGGAACGAATAATTTACAGTGGGGTCCATGTATACTTGAGGGTCCAGCTGGAGAATAATGGGATAGAGTAGATAGTATTTACTAAACATACTTTATGAACACACATATTCAGTAATAAACTTTAACTATGTCAGGTTTACATTTTCTTTGGATTGCCATCTGCGCTTATATGTTTTATCCCTTGCATCGCGCACAAAAGCCTGGTTTGCGTCATTCATCGCTTGTTATGTCTTATTTTTAGGACAGATTGAACTTTCGAACCGTAAGCACAGGACATCTAACCAAAGGTGCTCACTGTAATGTTGACTTACTGCGAGTTGTTTTGTAAAATGTAATGATTTATATCCATTTTATTTTCAGTTCCATGTAGGGTATAAATAATACCAAGTTCTGACGTCAATATGTAAGCTAAAATCGCCTTCGTGAACATTTTTAAGAACATTACCAAAGATCTCTGATAATTTTGTGACCTTAAATTTTCTAAACAACTTACAAACTGATAATGGGGTTCTTGTTTCTGCAATACAGCTTCTAAAATGCTGGTTTCTCCGTGTGTTTTCAACAGAAATCCCACAGATCATACTGCAAGTATTCCTGTCCATTACAACGGTGGATGATAATGTGCACATTCATCTTATTGATATAATTAGACAGTTCTGATCGCTTTCACAATTAGTAGACAAGCGATATTGCAAATATGGGACTTTTCAGAATAGAATTAAGTAATAATAAAGCTTACTCGTTAATAACATCATGTGAAGTAAAAGCGAGTGGTGTGATGAAGACTTTTGTTTTGAAAGAACTTAATGTATACTTAGCGATTGGTGAGAAGTTACCAGTCAAGATATTGACGACCGAAAACTAAATTGGGATCCATCCATCCTCCTGTAGTTCTTCAAAGATGGATATCTAATCATTCATTTTTCGTTTAACAGCCCCAACAATTGTTCTATTGCATAAAATCATCACTTCACCTCTTAGAGTCTTCAGTTTGACACGGCAGCTTGTCATCTGGGTTTGCATTAAAGGCGTAGTAGCCGAGGGCTTCAGTAAATATTACCTTCGATCCCTTGGCTACCTGGAAGTCATCTAAAAAGAGGATGTTTCATGTATTCACAGCTTACCGCAATACAAACATGTATGTTTGTATCGTTACCGTACAAAATTCGGAACAAAGTTGACCTCGACGAGAACTGATTTGTTATCATTTGTGTGGATCTGCATTGAAATTATTTCCCTATAGACTGTCTGTCATCATTTAGCAAATAGATGGGATACAACGCTAGTAATTTGCTTAGTGAGTACACTGTGCACTGTATACTGAAGAGCGCTATAAGTAAGCACAATATATCTACTAACTGTTTGTAAAGAGGAATTCAAACAGAGATCGGAAAACCTGTACAATTATGTCGATTTGAATGTTACAGAAATGCAGGTTGGGTGGATTCAAGCTGATTTAATCTTCTACAAACACCTTTGTAGCTAGTCGCAGAAACAATTTCTTAGATAAATGTACGTAAATAAGTTCGGTCAAGCACTAACTGTTATTGTTCATTTCTGCACCAGCGCCCGTTTGCAGTTTAACCGCTGAACTGTTGGAACTGAAAATGTTAGATATATATCTTCAGCAAACAGACTCAAGGGATAAATTTGTAATACCTCTAGTTTGTTTAACAATCTCTCTGTATTTCAGAAAGCGAAGGATACCAGACAAATGGTTGATAACCATAAGACATCTCTTAGATATGTTCTGACTTGTATCATGCAACCAAACCTAGGTGCCAAATTTCCGTCCCGACCGTGGCTCCTACCGTGACATGGTGGTCGAACTTGTATACCTTCGTAACCCAATTGAGGTATATTGGCTGGAACTTTCGCCCCTTCAGATTCTTTCATGCCAAGCAGGTTGGTTGGAGAGTAGTAGTACGAGAAGCAGCAAACTCATGGGCTGAGGGCAAAGTTGTACTGCTCACTGCAGTGTGACGGCAGTAAGGTATTTTCCTCAGAAATACAGCATCCGCAGCAATGTTGTCTTCCCATAACAGATGGATCTATAAAAGATCAGCCCTAAAAATGTCACACTCACCTTTCTACAGATTATCGTCTCCAGCGATTAAGGCCTTAAAACTACGGAGCCATCTCATCTGAAACGACTCAAATAAGTGTGCAACCGGCCATAATCAGTTGTCCTTTGGCACTACGCTCGTGCCCTTAGTTTGTCAAAACTGCTCCTAGCCTGGCCTTTTCGGGTACCTCATGAAGTATCTTAGTACGATGTGGGTAACTGCGAAGTGAAAATCCTCCTACCTTTAACGGCATGTAAAATTACATGTTCGTAATTAAACTACGAAACTAGATTTATATCACTTAGGACTACTTAAAAAGTTTTCAACTGTCAATTTTATTAAAGCATAGAGAGTAAAACTGCCTTTTGTGAGTCTCGATCACTAGGCTTACTGACATTTGAATTCTTGTCTGATTGTGTAAATAAGACCTTACAAAAAGTTACATCTCAACGCAAGGTTTCTTTCATGATATGAGGGACGAACCGAAAATAAGTTATTTTGGAAGAGATTTTGAAGAGGTCTGATGAATATGTTTCACAAGAATCAAACCTTAATGACCTCATGTCTGGTGTCGCTAATCCTCATCTAGTCAGTTTTAGTGAACCCTCTACTCAATGCGCGAAATATGCTTTAAATAGAGTCAGACTAACTGTTACTTGGGTATATGAGGACCCAACGTTATTTCGCGGGGGAGGACGGACGCAGAAAATTTTAAAATGCAGATATGAACTCCGGATCATTCGAAAAAGGGGAGGTGTTAGGTAGTCGGAAAAATAGACCAATAATTATGATGTTAAGTCCATTGGTGTCCTTGGACCTTAAATGTACATTTCCCATTGGTCGATATTTATTTCACGTGTTATTTTCCTGTTGGCCAATATTGTACAATGTTATTTTCTATTTTATGGTACGTTGTGGTCTGCTTGACTAGTATATAAACAAAGTATGTTTGAAATATAATGATTCATATCTCAGAGGCTGTGACTCGTGTTCTTGATTCAACTGGCTGGGACAGACAGCGAGGCAGGGCCAATCAGGGCACTAGGTCGTCCGTACGTGTTTTCCGTGTCCACTGTAATCGATCGATAAATACGCTGCTTATCAAAAACCTGCAGTCACACCCGTTACAACAGAAAGGTTATGTAATTAGCAACATATATCCGTCGTGTCCTCCAGCTGCATGGATCTATTTTGTAGGAAAACTGACTATTATCCAGCGGTATTCAGAAAGACACCGGTCGGCTGCATTCTCACTTAATCGACGCCAAATCCCCTTGTGGAGTTCCGCCCTTATTCGGTTGCTTTGAAGCTAGACACATTAAATGTAGTTGAAGCATTATACAGTTTACGTTTCTGTCAGTAATCAAATTAATACTAATCGTCCGATTCAATTTTTCTACTTATAGGTCCAATATAATATAAATTAATATGATCATTGTAATTATGGGACCATGTGGTTGCGGAAAATCAACAGTAGGAAATTCGTTGGCGATTCGAACTAACTGGCCATTTATAGAAGGTGATGACTATCATTCTGATAGTAATCGATTTAAAACGTCTATGGGAATTCCGCTGAATGATGAAGATCGTTTGCCATGGCTTCGGTCCCTAAGAAATGAGTTAATGCAACACAAGAATGCCATATTAGCATGCAGTGCTTTGAAAAAGTCGTACCGAAATATTTTATCCAGTAGCAACGATGCAAATTATCAAACAAGAACACTTTTTGTGTTGCTGAGTGCAAATAAAAGTCTGCTACAGAAACGGGTCAGTGAGCGCAAGGGACATTTTGCACACCCTTCACTTATAGAAAGTCAGTTAGAAACATTGGAATCATTTGGAGAAGATGAAGAATATCTTGTTATTGATGCTAGTAACTCTCTTACGGATATTACTCAACAGATTATCAATAGTTTGTCCACAGGAGAACATTTCTTCAAACAGTAAGCTTACTCCATGTATACAAATAAATCTGGAGACGACCCAATGAAAGCGTCACAATTCTGGGAATTTTCACATTCAGGACAGCTCAGATTTCGAAATTTCCAATGAGAAGCATACGCTCACTTATAAATAGTACTTTAGAGTAAGTAAAAGCTACATAGTAGCATTTGCTAAGAAATTCTTCAGTCCAATAACTGTCATTTACATAAAAGTATTTCTAAATGAAACCGATAATTTATATGACATGATGCTTGTCAAAAATAAAATGAAGTGTTGATTTGATTTGTTTACATTAAATTGGAAACTTTTTACTCCGAATATTTAGGCAAACGCCAGTTTATGAAAATTCAGTTCAGAAAACTCACAAAAAAGCCTTAGGAAAAGCTATCTCATTTCGACGTAGTTTTTTTGATGCCGTGTTATGAAAAGTTCCTACATGTTGACTAGATTAGGTGCTAACTAAGCTAACAGTTACTTTTCACATCTGGTAACCCTGGAAATCATATAGCAAACATACAGTATGAGTAATCAGCTCTGTAGACTAAGCAGTTTGTATGCTGAAACAAATTTTACAATAGATAACATCTAGACGGTATGGGGTCAAGAGGAATACTCAGTTCACGATAATTATTTTTTAATCAGTCATTTTGTTCTTGCTGTGATCCGATAATGTCATTGGAGTGTTTTTGTACTAGTACAATTTAATCTCTTAATTACTACTCATATGAAAGCATACAGTATACAAATTCGTTTGTTTTTAAGCGAGTGAAGTAAACATTGTTCTCGAGTCGATATTGATACATACTTTCTATGCACAAGCCCGACCTACTCGAAGGAAAAGATGGAGAGCGAGGAAGAAAGTTTATTTAACTAAACTGAATGGATTGTATGTGAACCCATTTATTGATTTGTTCTTTTGGAAATCAAAGCTATCAGTGGTTTATATTTTATTCCTTGAAAAATAAAGCCATTTGTTGGTCAACCACTTGCACTTATCATTTGGCGATTTCTGATTAGTACACTATCAAAGACTTCATAAATAGGAATTACATTTGAAGAATTTTCCGCTTGTTATATGTATATTAACATTTCTTATATTAGCATACCTTTAATGTAGTGTGTCACGGTGAAGACAAACTAAAATATGAAAATATGTACAGCCTTCACATTTCTACAAGTCACTGTTCAACATCTTTTTCAGCATCTGAATCGCTTGACAAATCGCTATTTAGTCGATCAGCAAGGTGGTCAAGTTTACGAATTGATTCATTGAGATCTAAAATGTGAGGAAGTTAAGCGACTTAAAATAAACCTACCAATATGGCTTGCAAATGTAGGTACTATTGGACTCGTCATTTTTTGAATAACATTTGGTGACTTTGCTGTATTGTTACCATAGCAGTGATAAGGTTCTGGATAAAACGAATGAAGTGCATTCTCTAGAGTTTGAATTTTGGATTTGTAGGTATTCTCAATACTATTGATCTGTGTTGAACCAATGAAGAAAAAACTGAAGATGAAATTGTGATAAAAAGTGGGGGAATTGTCTACAATCGATTTGCCTTTTGATGTATCTCATTAGTCTAAGACATCCGTCTAATTTTATACACAAGTTATATCCCTATGACAATTGTGTCTTGGAAGCACTAGATCTATGTCCAATGTACAGTTACAACATTAGACAAATGTTACTACATGGAACTAAATACACAGAAAGAAAGTAACTAGAACCTGGAACGAGTTTTTCGGCTTGAACTTAAAACCTGTGTAAAGTAAAAAAAATAGAAGGACGAAAGCAATAAAGAAAACAGGAAATAATCTAGTAGCACCCGAAAGTCGGAGGAAAGTATTGATACATCTGTGCCACTAGCAGCTTCTGAGTTATATCACCTGACAACTTAAACTTGGACTTGAAACGTTTTACTGACCCATCTGAAAAGTTAGAGCGCTTGGATCCGATCAACGATAACATCATTAATTGATGTCATATTTTGTTGTGAAAAGCCTCTTCCCCTCCGAAACTAATTTTACGTCAGCAAAAATAGTGAATTGAAGTAGGTGGTGTTTGGATATGAGTATATAAAGCACATAAAATAACTAGTTCGATAAACTGAAAATGCTATCTTAGCTTGTATTGATGTCAGATATGTCATTTGCAGGCAATGTTCTTAATTATATGACCACACAAACGTAAACTGTAATTCTATTATATGAAGTAATAACAGAAGTATAGTGTCGAAAAATGCTTAATATAAGCAACTATTATATTCAGATAAGGCTCGTAATAACCTAGAATCGTATTAAGAAAGATAAAAAAATATTATTTACAATAAAATGGGTAGTGTCACTGAAAATTAACATTCTTAATAACGGGAATGAGTCCTAATCTGAAATAGATTTCTTGTAAGTATTGTAATGAAACTACGTTGGATCTAATCATGTACAGACACATCATCTGTCTTTAAAGGTTAACAATTGAGAACGCTCAGATTTTATAGTTTGAAGTTAAGTAAATCTACTACTTCGAAGGATATCTTAATTAGTAAACCTGTCTGTTTTCTACATTTTATAAAACATGATAATAATTTGGTTGTAAGCCGTACAGATCTATTTGACTTTATAAGAAAAGAAAACAAAATTTTAAAGTCACCTGTAACTTTCTTTCATTAATTTCTCGATCTACACGGCGTTCAGCCCGACGTAGTTCCGTTAAAGCTTTGGTAAGCTTCATATCCGTTTCAGAGAGTTGAGTTTTTAAATGTCCAATTTCATCTGTATACTTTTGTTCGAGATCATTATTAGTTAGTTTTTCACTTTTTAATTGATCTGAACATTCTTTTAATTTCTAATATAAGAAGTAAATTGTAAAGTAACATATTATTTAAAGTTGGAAGTAATACTTAAGAATTTGTAAGGGCTTTTACTTCAATGTATTTATATTGCCATTGGAATAAATTTAATAGATATGGTAAAAAAAGATAGGTTAGTTAACCGTAAGAATAAAAAAAAACTCTTGCTCAAGTACTTAAAAACTGGGAACTTGTCTAGATGATTTGATAACTTTGTACTACTTACTTATAACTGAACTTATATATTTCTCAGCGATGGGAAATCATATTTTTAAAAATTTTGATGATATAGTGGAATGGATTTTGCGCTGTTTGGATAGCCTCTTTTAAGGGATGAACAAGACTGTAAATAGTGTAAGCCGATAAAAGTCAAAGAAAAAACCTTATTTTATTTATACTGAGAAAACATCAACTCCCAAATTGACGAGCACTGAAGCAATGACTAGTGCACACAGTGAATTAATATTACTTCGTTCCATTGAAGTATAGTTTGTACAACATTGATGAGAAACGTTCACACATAAAAATACAGTAATGGACTGTTGGATACGTAGTACCAAACAGGTTTCATGATTTAACCAGATTTTAATGATGAATTACTGAGAGGGAGGTAGAGAGTTTAAACAAAAGAAATAAGTAATTATAACTTTGATCAGTCTTATCTGACTAGTGAAAAAGGTGTCACTAACAAGTATTCAGCTGGTCATTATCGTCATTTTACAAATTAATAAAAATAACACAGTAACCAGAAATATTTCGCCCACCTAGTAAGAAACATTTGCATATATAGAACTAATAGGATTGGTGGTGTAGTTCTCACTAGACTATTCACTTTACGTCTTAGATGAAACATTTGTCGTAATAGCATACGGATAATTAATATTTAACAGAATAATGTCAATTTGGGAACCGCTTAACTGAAAACAAAATATCGAAGCTATTATTGAAAAACAGTTTTCTGCACTCAGGAATCTTGAGAAATGGCAAATAAAAAACATCGCTATGAGCGTTTACAGACATTTATTATTATATTCAAATGTTTACCGTTGAATATACACGTATTAGAAATGAATAGAATATATAGCATTGTTACGATGTAAAGGAGTGAATGATTATTGGTTAATTTGTGACGTTGATATTTATTCTTGATAAACTATTTCTTTTAATTAACCATCTATTGAGCAACTCAATCGTAGGCATACTGTTTGGGTTGAATATTTTATACAAGAAACTTAAAAGTTATGCATAAGCTGTATAAAAAACTTAATATTAAGACACTAAGTATTGTAATATATATTGTAAACTTCTGAACAATTTTTAGAATATATCCATATGTAAAACGACTGACAGACTATTTAGAATTAATTCATGTATAGGGATCTTATATACATTGTGTAGACAATACATACAAACGAAATTATTTTTCACTATAAAAACATAGAACTTTAACTTTTAATAACCAATATTCGGCGTACATTTCTCTACAAGACTCATTCCTATACTAATTAGTCTCTGAGTTTAAATAAATCACTTTGATGTTAAACGATAAGAAGCAATTTGTAGAAAGCTTTTAACGTACGTTTTATGCTGCTTGGTACTCTAAATAAAGTTGATTTGTAATCTTGAAGGGAATGATGCTGCTTTAGAAAAACTAACAAGTCACTTAGAACTGTAACTAGAAAGGTTACCACTGAACTATTCCGATCACTATTGATCTCCTACCTTCAGGACTGAGATGTTTACACTAATTAGTGAGTAGTAACCATTATTTAGTTTTAATCAATAAAACTAACTAACCTTTTGTTCATCATGTAAAGATAAATTCAAAATTCTGTTTGCTTCCCGAAGTTCTGATAATTCTTTTTCAACTAAGAACAGGTAAGGTAAAATTAACAGTAGGATAAGTCCGCTTTATAAATATAATTATTTTTTAATGTACAATTACAAGGCATCTAATGTGAGATGTGGGATAGAGTTACTTATTTGAACACACAAGCATTGGTACAAGTAGGCACCAAATAGATATGCGCCACATAAATCATTCGATTTATGTGAGGGCTGGGATACTGCCCTGGTGCCAAAACCGAAGCAGGTGATCTTCTTAGGGGGGGCAACACCCGGAGCCTTTGACCCTAAGGTTTGATCCACAAGGTCGTGGAGCAACGTCAGGAGATGTAGCCGCTGACCAACCAGGGTCCTGGAGCCCCTTTACACCATTGGTTTGGAATCAGGGTTTTTCAACAACCCTAGGTGGACTCTTGGTGTTTACCGACCCGGTTAAAGCACCGAACATTCGCTTTTCGTCCTCTCAATTTCGTAAACAACATCCCCACCGCGAGAAGGCAGTGAGTAAGACTTCCCTGGTAGTGGTTGTATACACGTGGCCATGTGAGAGCACTTCGAAAGGGAGAGCTGATTCTCCCCACTCTCGGC